CATTGCTCCCCTTGATCCAAGCCCCTCACTAGTCCTCTACCGGACTATTGAAATATTCCCATAGGCCCCTTGCAACCCCAACTTCTGCCTATCTTAACACAATAGCCAGCCAGCATGATTTTTTTTTTTTTTTTTTGAGACAAGCCCTCACCCAGGCTGGCGTGATCATGGCTCACTGCAGCCTCAAATTCCCCAGGCTCAGGTGATCCCCCCCCAACTCGGCCTCCAGAATAGCTGGGACTACAGGCACATGCCAGCACACCCAAATAATTTTTCTGTTTTTTGTAGACAGGGTTTTGCCATGTTGTCCAGGCTGGTCTCGAACTCCTGGGCTCAAGTGATCTGGCTGCCTCAGCCTCCCAAAGTGCTGGGATTACAGGTAAAAAGCCACCATGCCTGGCCTTTTTTTTTTTTCTTTAGAGACAGGGTCTCACTCTGTCGCCCAGGCTGGAGTGTTAGTGGTATGATCGTAGCTCACTGCAGCCTTGAACTCCTGGGCTCAAGCAATCCTTCTGCCTCAGTCTCACAAGTAGCTGGGACTACAGGCACATGCCACCACTCCTGGATAATTTGTTTTAATTGTTTTTTTGTAGAAACAGAATCTTGATATGTTGTCTAGGTTGGTCTTGAGCTCATGGACTCAAGGAATCCTCCTGCCTCAGCCTCCCAAAGTGCTGAGATTACAGGTGTGAACCACCATCATCCCAGCCCAGATGATCTTCTAAAACATAAGACAGATCATGTCCTCTGCTCAAACCCTCTTGGGGTCTCATCTCACTCAGAGTAAAAACCCAAGAGAGCCTGTAGGCCCTGACTGCACCTCCACACCTCTCTGACCTCATCTGCTGCTGCTTCCCCTGCGCTTCCTCCACTTCAGCAACCCCAGACCCCCGATGTTCCTCCTTCCCTCTAGACACATGCTGCTGGCCGCAGGAACTTGCACTTGCTGTTGCCCTACCCTGGAACCCTCTTCTCCCAGCTTTGTGCACAACTCTGTCCCTCACTTCAGATGTCTGTTTAAATGTCGTCTTAAGGACAAAGCCTTCCCTGACTACCCTGTATGAATGATCATTTATAATAATGACGATGGATGGACAGATAAACAGCAAATCCCACCGCCCCCAGAACTTCCTGCCCTTACTCTGCTTTGCTTTCTCCACTGCACTTGCCATCATGCGACACGTTATTTATTTATTGTCTGTGTCCCCACTTGGCAAGGACTCTACCTGTTTCTTTTTGCTGTGCCTAGAACAACACTGAGTGGAAACTCACAAATATTTGTGAAATGAAGGAATGTTTATCAGATCGTCATGCCTACTCAGTCACATGTGTGACTGTAGACACACGTTCGCATACACATAGAAGCCATAAGCATATATGTAGACCCATGGGCAGATGGATGGATCATAAGAGGTCAGGCTGAAGTGTGGACAGGGCAAAGCCAGCATTCATTGAGCCAGGCCAGGGCTCAGTTTTTCATCTCATTTGGGATTAAATGGCTCTGTGCAGTAGGCTGAGACCTGCAGCCCAGGGAAGGCCACCAACATGCCCCAGGTCCCAGGAGAGCTGCGTGCAGCTGCAGGACTCCACAACTGCCACCCTGGACCGATTCTGAATGCCAGGACAGGGTCCTGTAGTCACTATCCATTCAGGAAAAGCAGCTGGAGCAGGAAAAGGAGGGAGAAAGTGAGGGAGGAGGCCAGTGTGTCCATGGCAGCCCTAGTAGGGCTGTGCAGAGTGGTGAAGAGTTGGCAGGCTGCCAGGGCACCTGGCCAAGATGCCCCTGGGAGGACCTGGAGGCTGAGGTATGAAGGGCAAGTAGAGGGAGGGAGAGGAGAGGATGGGAGGGCCAGGGCCCCATCCTCAAACAATATGGCAGATTGTGCCCTCACAAGGGAGGCAGGCTAGCCCTGCCAGACGTGACTCTGACACTGGGTTTTTTTCCCATTCCCCAGATATGCCTTGTGCCTGGGGAGTCCAAGTCCCAGGTTCGAGGCACTGCTTTGTCATGAAGTGTGCTTGGTAGAGTCCTCTTGGAATTTACCTTTCCCCCTCTCTAAAGTGGAGATCTTGGCTGGGCACAGTGGCTCACACCTGTAATCCCAGCACTTTGGGAGGCCAACGTGGGTGGATCACCTGAGGTCAGGAGTTCAAGAACAGCCTGACCAACATGGTGAAACCCCGTCCCTACTAAAAAAAAAAAAAAAAAAAAAAAAATTAGCCAGGCATGGTGGTGTGCACCTGTAATCCCAGCTACTCAGGAGGCTGAGGAAAGAGAATTGCTTGAGCCTGGGAGGCGGAGGTTGCAGTGAGCCGAAATCACACCACTGCACTCCAGCCTGGGCCACAGAAAGAAACTCTGTCTCAAAAAAAAAAAAAAAAAAAAAAAAAATACAATTTTAAAAATACATCAAGTGGGATCTGACTCCAGGTCTTTGCCTTGGATAGCCCTTCTACCAAGAACACCTTCTCCTCCCCAACACCCCAAATTCCACATGTCCAGATGCGTCCTGCACCTGAGCTGCAACTGCCATCTCAGCTCGTTCCAACCTCTGGACCTTTGCACATGCTGTTCCCTCTGTGTGGAACTATTTTGTGTACAGCTCCTTCTCATCCTTCCAGACTCAGCCCAATGCCACCTCTTCTGAGAGGACCTCCCTCCCTGATACCGCATCCTTAACAACGCACTCACTCCATTCACTCCATCATTCTTGCTCACTTCCTCCTTCTTTACTTTTCTCCTCAGTGTTTTATATTAAATTATATTGTAGATTCATTCCTCTATTATCCGTGTCCCCCACTGAAAGGTCAGTTCCATGAGGGTCAGGACTTCATTTTTTTTTTTTTTTTTTTTTTTGAGACAGTCTTGACCTGTCACCCAGGCTAGAGTGCAGTGGTGTGATCTTGGCCCACTACAACCTCTGCCTCCCAGGTTCAAGCAATTCTCCTGCTTCAGCCTCCTGAGTAGCTCAGGTTATAGGCACACCCCACCATGCCCAGCTAATTTTTGTATTTTCAGTAGAGGCGGGGTTTCACCTTGGTGGCGACCAGGCTGGTCTCGAACTCCTGACCTCAAGTGATCTCCCCACCTCGGCCTCCCAAAGTCCTGGGATTACAGGTTCGAGCCACCACGCCCGGCCAGGACTTCATTTTTTTGTTGCTATGTCTCCAGTACATGGACTGGCATCAGCGAGGTGCTGTGGGAAGAACAAAGGAATAAGCAGAAGAAATGCATCTCTTTGCTGATAGATCCCTGAATAACTGACTGCATCTTGCTGTCTTAAAAGGAGAAATGATTGTTAAAGTATGTTGAATAAATGAATGATTGGAAGAATAAAACGCTGTTCTGTCTCCCTGCTTGTGGCAGACCCTCGTGTTTGGTGACTGAATGATTGAATCTCAGCACCTCCCATCCTTGTAAAAGGTGTTAGAAACAAAGAAAGAAAGGCAAGGAGAGAAGGAAAGCAATAGCTGGGTGTCTGCAAACGTTGGCGGATCTCCCCTTGCGCACCCCTCCCTCGACCTCGGCAGCCCACTCCAGAAGTGGCCGCAGCCTCCCTCCAAATTCTGTCTCTCTCCAGCCCCTCCCCTGCTCTGCATCCCTGCAGGGCTGTGATGGGCCCTGGAGCTGCTTGTTGGAGTCGGGGGAACAGTTCCCCTGGTGCATGCAGGGGAGCCATACACTCCAGGAAATGAAGGCTTCGGAGAGGCACCTCCTCCTCAGCCATAACTCCAGCCTCATTATGACTAGCTCAGGTCATAATTAAGGGAATCAAAGCCGGATCCCTGGAGGTGGCAGCACAGAGCAGGGGTTGCAGAGCAGAGCTGCCAGCGTCGGGGACTGTCATGCCCAGGCCCATAGAAGTTGTTTTGTACTCAGGCAGGGTGTGTTCACAGCAGGCTCACGGGTCCTCCTGACCCCATTAGTTCAGGCTTGGGCCCACAGGGAAAGAGGGAACAGCATGGTCCAGACCCCTCCCCTCCATTCTTCCGTGCGGAGTGTGGACGTTTTCCCACTCCCATTGCCCAGAACTGCAGCTTAATGCCCTTACCATCACCCTCACCTTCCAGCAATGACTCCCCACCCTGAAACTCCTTCCATAAAGATTTTCTGGAGCAGATTCCAGAAAAAAAGCACTGAGGAATTAGCCATCTACAAAATGGGAATTTAAAAACTTTCAGAGTCATGATTCCCATGAGTTAAAGGGATGGGAATTGCCCACTGTGATGCTGGGTTAAAGAAGGTGGTCGGTCACTCCTGTAATCCCAGCACTTTGGGAGGCTGAGGTGGGCAGATCACGAGGTCAGGAGATGAGACCATCCTGGCTAACATGGTGAAACCCTGTCTCTACTAAAAATACAAACAATTAGCCAGGCAGGCGCCTATAGTCCCAGCTACTCGGGAAGCTAAGGCAGGAGAGTCCCTCAAACCTGGGAGGCAGAGGTTACAGTGAGCCAAGGTCCTGCCACTGTATGCACTCCAGCCTGGGCAACAGAGCAAGACGGTGTCTCAAAAACCAAGGTGATCTGCATTTCTTCCTCCCTAGAGAGGCCACTTCCTTTGTTCTCAGGAAGATCTGGCTAGAGCCAGGTCAGACAACCCCACCCCCACCGGCTACACACCATCTGTCCAACCACACACCCCTGTTCATGATCTAACTCCTCAAACTGGCCAGATCGCTCAGCCCCCATGCACACTCCTCTGCCTGAAATGCCCACCCTTTTCTTCCCATCAGCTCAGACGCCACCTCCTCCGAGAAGTAGCCCTGATTGTCTCCCGCCTACCTTCCCTTTCCCAAACACAGGAGCTCAGTCCCTTCCCTGAGCCCCACCGGTCTCAGGGTGTTCAGACACAGACACTTTTATAGCCCTGATCACATGCCACCTGGCATTTAGGTTGTTATAAGAGGGGTTTCACCTCCCATCCCACAAAACTGTGAGCTTATTTACCGTGCCCCTGGCAAGCAGGCCAAACCTGGCACAAAGTTGGAGCTTGGTGGACTTGAGCTGTTGAACTGAGCTGAACTGGGCTCAGGGGAAGGAGGAGTGGGGATTGAGCCCCTCACCTCCACGTACTCCTCTCTGTGCCTGAAATTCCTCCATTAAGCAGCATCGCTGTCCCCTGTAAACACCCACATTAAGCCATTATTCATCATTATGGCTTGAGTAGGCGTTAGTCCCTCAGATCCTTTCCTGCTGAAAGCAGGATCTGATGGAGAGAGGGGAGGAGAGATGGATGGATCTGGGGACCGCCAGCTGGTCCAGGAGTGGGAAGGAAAGGTGTCTCTCAGACTCTGGAAAAGAGCTGTTTTCTGGGGGAATGTGGAGTCACTCAGGGTGTCTCCAAGCCAGGCCCTCTGGGACTCAGGTGCTCTACCCCTAAGCCGCTGTGGGTGTGGGAGCACTTCAGAGGGCCTTTCTTTGGTGCCTGTTTCAGACGGAATGACCTGTCTGTGCTTCGAAGGATAGTAGGGCAGGCATATTGGGTGTTAGTCTGGGTGCTGGGCTTCTGTGCACCCAGGAGGCCTGGGTCTTGGGGGCTCTCGAAGATGCCTTCTAGAAGTACCTGGGGTGGGGGGGTTCTTGGGGACTAGGCAGGGCTGGACAGATTGTCAGCCAGGGCAGGGATGCAAGCTGCTAGGGTCTCTGCTTGTGTGGGCATGGGTGCTGAGCTGAGGAGGGGCTGGAGAAAGGCTCAGGAGGGTGGGAAAGCGGTGGCATGTGACACCAGGTGAAAGAGGCTGTGTTGCGCGGGAGAGGCTGCGGTGTGCCAGAGAGGGCTCGTACTAGACTATGGGTTCCAAGACAAGGGAACCACTGTGAGTCTCCATGGTGTCTGTCCCACTCTGCACAGTACCAGGCATACAGTAGGTGCTTATTTAGTACCTACAAGAGGAAAGATAGACTCAACTTGCCCTCCCTGCACACAGAAGCCCCTCTGATGTTTTCTTGTTTCTCTTGCAGGCTCCTGATGGAACCGGAAGGCCCCTAGTCCTGGCAGGATCTGCCGGCCCCAACCCGCATCCTCTCTGCGCAGGGACCATGGCGCTTCCCGGACTCTGGAGCTACCCAGGCGCTGCCTAGTGATCCGCACGCGACGCGGCGAGGGGGGCGCGGGCGGGGACCCCGGGGACTGTCCATGCCCCGGGTGCGGCCGCGCCCCCTCCCCCTTCAGCCGGGCACCCCCGCGGCTGGGCGGCGTTCAGAGCCGCGGGGCTGTCCGGGTGCCCCGTCGGGGGTGACAACCCGGCGGCCTTGCTGAGGCCACCATGTGACACGGCGCCGCTTCGTTGCGCGACCGAGCGGCGGCGCTCTGGTGCCTCCTGTCCATGCTCCTGGGGCCCGGTCCCGCGCAGGCCAAGCATGAGGCCGAGGCCCGACGGGAGGGGGCTCCGGGCCGGAGCCGCGCTGTCCCCTGCGCTGCTGCTGCTGCTGCTGCTGCCGCCGCCGCCGCCACTGCTGGGACGTCTGTGGGCCGCGGGTACCCCCGCGCCGTTGGCGCCCGGGGCTCGGCAGGACGGCGCACTGGGAGCCGGCCGCGTCAAACGCGGCTGGGTGTGGAACCAGTTCTTCGTGGTGGAGGAGTACACGGGCACGGAGCCCCTGTACGTGGGCAAGGTAAAGTGGGGCCCCATTCCAATTCCAGATCCCAGGACCCTGGGGACACCCACTGGTAGATGAAAGAAACCCTAGTTCACCTGCCCTTTTAAATCCACTTTCATGTGCCTCCTTGCCAAGGACTGATAAGTGGGTCCTGAGCCCCACTCCTACTCCGCCCCATGCCCTCCTCCCCTCCCCCTCCCTTTTGCATCTTAGAGAGAGTGCCAGCGGGCAATCCCAGCCCATCGTGTAGCTAGGTACATACGGGATTTAAGAACACGTTTGTAAATCCGATCATCTCACACATAAGCTGGCCACTCTGCTTAAAATTCTTTCTATCCATTGACTACAAAGATCTGGCTCCTCCTCCAGCCCCATCTCTTGCCACACTCTGAGTTTCAGCCTCACTGCCCTTCTTCTGCTCTTCTGAAAGTCGGTCCGATGCCCACGCACACTCCTGCCACCTCCCCTTTGCCTAGGTTGTTTCTCCAGCTGAACCGCTCTTTCCTGCTCCTTCCACTGATGACCTTACACTCACACTACAGATCTCAGCACAATGCCACTTTCTCAGAGAAACCCTTCTCGCACACACCAGACTAGGACAGATCTGCTGTCACATCCCCCTTGAAGTCCCAGTATCTTTCCTTCATAACACTTTAATTATGCATGTGTTTGTTTGATTATGCAATTAATGTGTGTCTTTCCTTTTAGACAGCGTTTGTTTTGCTCACCATGAAATCCCCAGTGCCTAGCACAGACGTAGCTTGCAAACTGTTAGTAATTGAATGAATGAATGAACGAATGAATGAAATCTACTTTCTCAAACTCTCTGAGTAAATGCTAGTAAATCTGGCTGAAGATCTGTGCCATAGGAGTACAAGGAGCTGAGAAGGAATTTCATTCATTCTTCAATTCCTGAGCCCCTTGTAGAGCCCAGGTGTGATGCTGGGGAGACAAAGGTGAATGAGATCCAGCCTCTGCCACTTTAGGGATGCCCAGAGTTGCAGAGACACCTGGTGATAAAAAGCTTCACAAGTCAGCACCTGGCACTGAGTAGGCACTCATTAAATGGTATACTTTGTCTGGCTTCATGGAGGAGAAAACACCTGAACTGGGTTTTGATGTAGATGTAGGCGTTCCTCAGGCTAATGGGAAAGAGGACATGACCTATCCAAAGACTTGGAGACCTGAAGGTACCTGATTTGTTCAGAGCCTTGTCAGTAGTTGAGGTGTTGAAGCGGAGGGTTATTGTAGGGCATGAGAGTGGGGTGGTGCCCCAGGACAGTATCTGGCTTTTGTTAAAGCCAACTAGCTTTCCGGGGAGTCTTGGTCAGGAATGTGGGTGGGAAAGGCCACTCCAGAGCTTCCTGTGTGCTTAAATGAGTCTGGGAATTGGGAGGCTGAGCAGTTCTGAGGCTCAGAGATCAGGATCCTTGACAAGGAGAGAAGGAAAGTCTAGATTTAAACCTGTGGGTTTGCCTTGCAGGAAGCTCAGGTTTTCTCTGGTCCAGACACAGTAATCCCTGGCCCTTAGCTACTTTCCCCCATATACACACGGCCAAATGAATGAATGAATGAATGATTCCTACAATTAAGCTGAGCAAGGATTTGACAGAGCTCCGAAAGGTTCAGGGCCTTGCTCAAGATCACCCAGCAACCTAGTAGCAGAGCCCAGGACCCCTCACTCCCAGCCAGGGGTGGGAGATGATGGCACTGGAAGAAAGGGGTGAGGGGTAGGGATGGAGTGTCCAAGCCCACTACATGATAGGTAGTAGCCAGTGAAGCAGCTAAGAATGCAGGCTTTGGAGGCAGACACACCTGAGACACACTCTGAGGCCTGGTTCTGCCAACCCCTTCACTGTGTGACCTTGAACAAGTTACTGTACCTCCCTGACAGTCTCTTCATCTGTAAAAATAGGGGCTCAGAGAGCCGGCTTCCTACGGTTGTTGGAGATTAAAAAAAGAAAACAAAGCACACTAAGTGTTCAGCCTCCAGCTTGCTTGTTGTTACTGTTTTTATTATTCCCATATAAAGTACTTAACCCTTAAACTACAAGGTAGAAACCATCATTCCCTTTTGTAGCTAAAGAAACCGAAGTAACAGAAGGCAAAGTCATACAATGGGCGAGTGGCGCAGCCAAGAGCTGAACCTGTGTGAGCTGAAGTTTTTGTTTTTGTTTGTTTGAGACAGTCTTGTTCTGTTGCCTAGCCTGGAATGCAGTGGCACAATCTCGGCCCACTGCAACCTCCATCACCTGGGTCCAAGCGAGTCCCCTGTTTCCACTTCCCGAGTAGCTGGGATTACAGGCGCTCACCAACATGCACAGCTAATTTTTGTATTTTTAGTAGAGATGGGATTTTACCATGTTGGCCAGATTAGTCTGGAACTCCTGACCTCAAGTGATCCACCTGTCTTGGCCTCCCAAAGTGCTGGGATTACAGGCATCAGCCACTGCACCTGGTCCCTTGAGTTGAGGTTTTTAAACCTCCAAAAGAGAAAGAGAAGAGGCCAATTTCAGCCCGACTCTCCAGACCCCTCTGAGACTCCCAGACCTGGGAAAAAGCCTTTGGTCCAGGAAAACCCTGGAGACACAGGGAAGGACTGATGCATCTGCCTAAATGTCAGAGGACGTGGTCATCTCAGGCACATCAGCTCTGCTGTCTGCTCAGCAGCTGGGGCTCTGCAAAAGCCTCCCCAGCCACCCACATCCTGCAAAGATCAGAAAACCGGCTTCTGACTCATGCTTTCATCTGCCTCTACCTAGCCTTTATCATCTCAGCCATGTGAGCCAACCCCACCCCATCTCATAGAACCACAGTCTATAAGCAGGGGGAAGGCCCTGTAATTCCCTTCATTAGAAGGGAGAAACTGAGGCCCAGAGGCAGAGACCATCATGCCAAGGCCACACATAGTTGCAGAACCAACCCAAGAAACAAGATCTCCTAACACTGTCTCCGTGCTCACTTCAAGAGCCCCATAATAAGCAGCTGCCAGGAACCAAGCATTGTGCTGGGCCCAGGGTCCTTTCTGTTCCCCCCAGCAACCTCTGTCCACATTGCCACTGCTGTTGTGACTCGCTACTGTCCTCCTCCATCACCTTCACCCAGAGCCCCTGCTCTGCTCTCTTACTCTCAAGGCTGCCTCCAGAAAAGCACTCCCTGCAGGGAGGGAGAAGAATTTCCCATCTCTTTGCAAATATTTGCCCAATGTGCACTTTCTTATGGGAGGTGGCATTGTGTGTTCTTGGAGGGCCACCTGGAGCTGCACTGCCTCGGCTCAAACCTCAGCCTGGCTGCTTATGACCTCTCTGACTTGGGGAACGTTACAGTCATCCCTCGGTATCTCTCGATGGGGAATTGGTTCCAGGACCTCCTGTGGAGACCAAAACCCCATATAAAATAGCATAGTATTTGCATATAACCTATGCACATCCTCCCATATGCTTTAAATCATCTCTAGAGTATTGATAATATCTAATACAGTGTAAATGCTATGCAAATAGTTGTTATACTATATTCTTTAGAGATGACAAGAAAAAAAGTCTGTACGTATTCAGTACAGACGCAATGATTTTTCTGAATGTGTTTGATCCTTGGTTGGTTGCATTCGCTGATGCAGAAGCTATGGATGCAGAGGGCTGACTGTATATACCCTCTCTGTGCCTCAGTTTCCTTATCTGTTAAGTGAGGCTATTCCTAGGACCTAGCTCAAAGGCTGGCGGTGGGGAGTCAATGAGTTAGCATTTGTCAAGAACCTAGAATACCTGCTGGCTCCTGGCACATGCTCAGTAAGTATTCATTTTTATTATTGTTAAGTCTCATCTTGTAAGTTTCACTATTATTGATAGTTCCACCACCTTGAGTGTACCATCTAACTACGAACTCCCGCCCCAAATCCCCAAAGTCTTCTTGGCAACCTGACATTCTAGTTTCTCACTAAGGGGGGATAAGGTTGTCATTAGCCCATCCCCATCCCTAGGAATATGAGCTTGGGCTTTTAAAAGCCACCTGTCCCCTTTCCAGCTGAGTCCCTAGTATGTACAAGTGCTGGTGTGGGCACACACATGAATGCAAACACACACTCTCATACCACACTCTCTCACTCTTCAGGAAGAAAGGACTTCACCAAGGTTTCAGTTAATTCACTGCTTCCTGGTTCCCCCACCCCAGGGAGCTGCTCAGAGCATCCGTCCTTGTCGAATTCTAAAGGTAGCTTAGCAACAGCACCATCGGCAGAGTGAACCCCGGGCGCCCGACGGTAACCTATTTTACAACCGCCTCTTCCATCACTCACCACCAGGCTCCTGTCAGCACCCACGGGGACCACTGGGCCCCAAGGTGGTCGCCGAGGCCCCACACAAAACAGCTCCTTCCTCAGCCCTGCCCCTGTCGGCAACCTTGACCCACCTCTCCCCAAACCTTCTCACAACACCCACCCTCAAAGCAACCTCCCAGCATTTCCATAAAATCTGGGTACTCTGACTAATCCCTTTTCCGAACTGTAATTTCCCCCGAGGCTTCTGTCAGCTGGATGTGGATTTTGTAGGATTTTTAATTTTTTTAGAAAAAGATAGAATCATGGGGTCAGCACTTATGACCAACTCCTGTGGGCGGTGAGATCTATTTTAGATATACGGCAGGATTAAAGTGGGGAGGAGAGCAGATTTAATTAAGTTGCTAATATTTAAAGAAAATTGATGAACTCCTGGTTTACGAGTAGCACAGGCGTGAACACACCCCTCATTCCGGGGAGGCTTTTTATTTGATTTGCTTTCCGTTTAAATCCTGGACTCATTTTATTTGCGTAGCCGCACTGTCCGTTTAATTGTCTTTAATAAGGAAAACGTACCTCTGCTCGCATTTAATTTTGATTTAATTAGGAGGAAGTAATTAATGGCTTCATAAATCCCATTTTTTGGCCCCCTGGGATGAGAAACCATCACTCTTGTGTTTTTCATGTTGTTTATGATCAAGGGATGGGACTTGAGGGGGATTTCTCCTCCAGGGCTGGCCACACGTGATGTGGTAGAAAGAACGCTGAATGTGGTGTCAGGCTTTAGGGCTGTCTCTCATTACCTGTGTGACTTTAGGTAGGGTTTAGACCCTCTCTGGGCCTCAGTTTGCCCATCTATACAATGGGGAGAGAGAAATCTCTGATGCACAAGATGGGACATCTGTGAGACTGCCGTAAAGGGTCTAAAACTGTGCTTGGGGTTTTTAGGTTCTCAGTGACTATCCTCCGTAGTCTGGCTCATATGTACCTGGGATTTAAGAGTGGCTGAATCCTCTGGAAATCCCTGAAGACAATTAGGGGAGTCTAATGACAGTTGGATATTTTATTCTTCATTTATTCAGTATGTTTGGTGCTGTGCCGCGTGCTGGGTGCTGGGGAAATGGAATAAACAGCCAGATGTTTGGCCCTCAAGGAGCTTGCAAACTCACACTCATGTGCATGCACACACACACATTCAATCCTCCCACCCCCTGTATTTTCTCTGCAGGCATTGTCAGAGTACCTAGTGTGTGCCAGGTACAAAGAGTTCTGACAGAGACACAACTAACTTAGTTCATGCCTAGAGGCTCATGATGGCTGGGGACACAGATGTGCAGCACTAGAAGTTACAGGAGGGGGTGGAGTAAGGGGCATGTGTATGGCACAGGAACAGGGCAGGTGAGGTCTCTTCAACCAAATGAGAGGGCATCTGAGAGGGCTGCCAGGAGGAGGACAGAGGCTAAGTTTGAAAGACACGAAGGCATTGGTTGATAGTCCCCAGATCTCCAGTGGGTCAGGATTTGAGTATGTGTCATTCTTGTATCAGGGGATAGGGGGATGAACTAGGTGACCCCTCAACCCCTCCTGAGACCAGAACAGGAAAAGAAAAGGGGACTAATCGACAATGAGCACCTACTAAGTGCGAGGAGCATTCATATATTATCTTACAAATCTTCAGAATCTATATGGGGAAGCAATATCAGTCCTGTTTACAGATGAGAAAGCTGAGGCTCAGAGAAGGGTAGCCACTTGCCCAGGGTCCTACAACAAGTCACTGGCAAAGCTGAAGCTGGCACCCGGCTGCTCCTGACTCCAAAGCACATAATTTTTCCTGATTCATGATTTAGGGTTCTTTTCCAAATGGTAAGATGGAGGCTGATAGAAAAGAGACCACTGATGACTGTGGCCTGCAGGGCACAGGGCAAAAGACTGCTGTGAAGCCCACTCCCCAAACCATGGAGCCCAGCGGCAGCCCGGCAACGTTTTCTCCCTCACTCTCTTCTATAGGCATTGTAAGCAGACTAGCTAGATTCCCGGAGACTGCAGAGAGACCAAACTGGGGCTTTGGAGTCAAACAGACCTGAGGTCATCTCAGTCTCTTCACCTGGAAAATAGGGATACATTTACATGCCCACAAAGTGAGGTTCGATTTCTGCAGATGGCCTGCAACACATGTCTGACACATACTAGGTCAATAAATGAGGGCATCATCTTCCAGCCTCCATTCACAGCTGAGAGTCCTGAGAAATACCTTCCTAGGGCAGAGCCAGAGGCGCTCCCTCTTTACTCTAGAGCCGAGACCCAGGCGGGCAGGGCAGGCAGCACCAGCTGGGCCTGAATTCGTAACTCCCAGATCTTAGCTCCTGCCCAGGTGGATTGCCCCTGTCTGATTCTGCAGTCCCCAGAGAGCAGCCAGTAGGCCCCAGGGTGAGCTCATATTCCACAGAAGATGACGTCCCACTAGGTTCTATGCCCTTCTCTCCATTCCTCACTCATACATGAGCCCTGCCTGGGGTCTGAGTTACGTCAAGGGCTGCAGGGACATGATGGGGACCCAGGAGATGGAAAGAGAAGGAAACAACCATTAACAGACTGCTTAGGTCAAGGTAAACATGCTCTCATCTAATCCTCCCCACACCAGTGCCAAGTAGGGCTTGGTCTGATTTCTCAGGCAGAAACACAGAGGCTCAGAGAGGCAAACCCGTGGTCCCAACATTAGTGAATGGTAGAGTCAGCAGCGTGCTTCCCACACTTGGCTGTCTAACAGAGCACATGATTTCACCTCTCTGTGCCTCAGTTTTCTCACCTGAGAAGTGGGAATAATAATGTTTCACAGGGAAATGATGAAGACTAGTAAGATTATAGCTGTTAAACATCTCTCCAAATGGCATCTATTCTACCATACTGCTCAAAAATGTTTACTGGTGAAATAAGCAGACAACAGATCTGACTGGCAAGCAGGCAAAGGCGCCCCAAAAGGGAACAGACTCACCCCCTCTCATCCCATTTCCCCCCGGACAAAGGCGGGAAAAAAATGTATAAACAGCAAACAGGAGAGACAGGTCTCCTCATCCCCAGTACTACCAATGATTCAGGGCCGCTGTCCTGAAATAATTTTATTGGGGGCATTAAACTGAGTTATGAGGTTTTTACAATCCAGCCACTTATGAGAAATCTATTAACAGTAACTGGACAGGAAGAAGGCTTCTCAGTGGAGCCCAGGACGGGCATTAATTGGGGCAATCTATAACAGGATGGGGACCCGGAAAGGTTCCACCAGACGCCTCCATTTAGTCCCCGCAATTTCTGCTGAGAATCAGCAGACTCGCCAAAAAGAGAGAGATGCCCATTAATCGGCTAATGAAATATGAAAATGTTTATGGGCCATTCAATCTTCCAAATGGCACTTCTATAATCCACCTTTCAGACACAAAGTTCTACCAGCAGAATTTATACCCTGGCTCCTCCTGCGTGGCAGGGGATGGGCTTTCGTCCCCCTTTGTGATGACTTCATGGGCACCTCTCCTCCTGCTGAGTGGGCTGGGGTTCATGGCACCGCTGCCTGAAAAGAACTTTAGAGATTTTCTTGTTCACAGCCCATGTCCATAGAAGCTTAGAGAGGAGCAGGGACCTGCCCAAAGCCATTAGCTTCATCGGAATGGATTTTCCTCTGCTCAAAGCTGCCTGGGAGATTTGGGCATTGGAGGATAAGGACTTAGGTGTTGCTGATTGCAAGAAAGCAGACTTCTTGCTGGTTCCTCACCCAAGAGATCTCAGGGCAGTGAAAACAGCCTGGACTCTGGAGCCTAATGGTGCCTAGATTAAATCCCGGTTATATATAGCTAACATTTAGTAATAATATAATAATAACGATAGCTACCATTTATTGGGCACTTATTATGTCTCAGACAGGGCTGATTTTCAGCTAGTACAAACTGGTATGGTTGTACTGGTTGTTAAATTCATGAAAAACCTCCATACTTGCAGTAAATAGTCCCTGCTCTCCCTCGTCCTAACTCTCTCAGCCCCCTGGACCTCTCTGTGATCCAGCAACCAAAGGGTTCCCGCCTGGCTCAGCAGGGGTCCTGCTGCAGTACCACTGCCCGGGCCATGCCCCCCCTCATGCTGCCTGTTAAATACTGCAAATGTCACCTGGTGACACCTGCTATGGGCCTTATGTGGATTCTCAACTCAGCAATAGCTCTGGAAGGAAGATGCTAATATGATTCCCATGTTACAGAATGAAGCAGCTGAGGGCCACAGAGGCGAAGGGACAGGTGAGAACTCACAGGGAGACGGTGCCAGAGCCAAGGCTGGGCCAGGCTGCACTGTCTCTCCCTTCCCCTGGGCTCCTCTCGGGAGGCTTTAGATGGAACAGGAAAGCCCAGTATGGAGCCAGACTAGCTCTTCCCATGGCCTGACCTTGAAGAACCCATTCCACTCCTCCGATCTTCATTAGGAAATGGGGGTGGGGGGTAATCTGTAAAATAAAGACAGAAAATCCTACTCTAGCAGGGTTTTTTTTAAGTGTCTTGAACTAGAAAAGTACATAAATTGCTTAGCCATAGAAGGTGCTCTTTCAATTGACATCCTTTCCTTTCCTCCTCTCTCCCTTCACTCTCTGTCATGTGCTATGTCTTGAGCCTGGCTCTGCATATACCGAGATGAATAAGATGTGACCCCAACCTCCTGGGGTGCAGAGTCTAGGGAGCAGTGGACCTGTAATTCACAGTGAGGTATAGACCAGCAGCCTGGAAGTTTGTTAGCAATGCAAAGTCTGAGGCCTGGCTCCAGACCTCCTGAGTGAGAATCTGCGTTTTAACAAGATCCCCAGGTGAACTGCATGCACACTAAAGTTTGAGAAGTACCAGCTGCAGCCATCCGACAAGGCTGAACATGATAATGATGGCTTGATGTACTGAGAGATCCTGGGGGCAGCAGGGGCAGAGACTGAGGATCCAGAAAAGCTGTCTGAAAGAGGTGGCATTTTTGTTGCACTTTGCAGGATGAGTAGACTTTCCAGGGGCAGGGAAACAAGGAAACGGCTCAAAGCAGGAGCCTCAGGGCTGTGCGTGCTAAGGGGGAGCGGGGTTTGGCGGTGGTGCTGGACTTCTTTGTAAAGGCAATGGGAAGCCATTGGGGGGTTGCAAGCAGGGAGGCCACGTTCAGATCTGCCTCCGAGGCTGATAGCTCTGAATGCAGAGGGGAAAGTAGATTCCAGGGGCAGGGAGAGCCCCAGAGGGCTGGGCAAACACTCCAGGACAGGAATGGAAGTGAGCGTGGCTGCTGGGCCTCAGTGTCCTTACTAAAGATGTGTATGTGTTGGAGAAGAGATGGGCTTGGGAATGGGATGGACAGTGAGGCCCAGAGGAGCTTCCTCCTCAGCCTCCACCCTGCCTTCCTCTCTGCCTCCCCAGATCCACTCGGACTCAGACGAGGGTGACGGGGCCATCAAGTACACCATCTCAGGCGAGGGCGCTGGGACCATCTTCCTGATCGACGAGCTGACAGGTGACATTCATGCCATGGAGCGCCTGGACCGCGAGCAGAAAACCTTCTACACGCTGCGGGCCCAGGCTCGGGATCGTGCCACCAACCGCCTGCTGGAGCCCGAGTCGGAGTTCATCATCAAAGTGCAGGACATCAATGACAGCGAGCCCCGCTTCCTGCACGGCCCCTACATTGGCAGCGTGGCCGAACTCTCACCCACAGGTGGGCTGTGGGCCCTGGGGGTGGGGGTGGGATCTAGGTGACCCCCAAGGGGAGTGGAGCCTGCTGGAAAGGGGAATCACTCATCCTCTGGGAAGGGACAGGAAAGACAGGGCCTCCTGCCCCAAGGTACAGGGTACAGATGTAAGTGAGCCCAGGTGCCCCCTCCTGTGGTCAAGCACAGTCCTGGAGAAAACCACACATGTGACCTGAGCCACATCCATGGACACAGCCTCCACATGGACTTGGACCTGCATGTGGACACAGGGATGCCCTCGGACGTGCTCATACAGCCACATAGAGTCATGAACATAGACACAGCCACAGATCCGGACATGCCACGTGCACAAGCCAGCCCCAAATACCACTCACCACTACACCAGTACACAACCCCATTCATAGATCCAGTGCCCCACACAGGCACAGCTGGATGCCTTGACAGAGCCCTTCACAGAAGTTCAACTGCACACGGACACAGCACAGCCCTTGGCCACAACCTCCACGCGGACATAGTCCCATTTTCAGGCACACTCACCACTGGGAACAGCTAGATTGGGACACAGCTGGAACAGGGCCCAACCACACACTCAGACCCACGACTGCACACCCAGACATAGCCACTCACACCCCCAGGCAGGAAATAGACCCTTATGCAGATAGCACTTCTGCACAGACTCAGCCATATACAGAGACAGAGGCAAAAGCCAGAAGCAGACATGAGCATCCTAGGACCCAGCTCCCCTGGCATGCAGCCACAGACAGGCACAGGCACAGACAGATGAATGAGACAGGCAGCTTTGTCTACAGCCCAGAGGAAGCCACAGCTCGCCAAGACCCAGCCAGCTAGGGACAGAGTCTCACACAGAGACGGCTGAGCCCCCAGACACAGATTGAGTTGCACTTACCTGAGTATGACTGCACACACCCAGGAGCACTGCACACATGATTGCGCCCATAGAAAGGGCAGTGCACACACACAGAAATGTATATCTTGATGAAGACATCAGACACAGCCATACTTAGAAAGGGTCATGCACACAGCAGCAGGTCACTGGGACTAAAGCTGCACAACTCTGCCTTCTCCCACTGTGAAACCTCCAGACCATTGCTGACCATCCAGGCCCCACTTAGCTCAGGGCTCCGGGAGCTATGGTGGAAACTGGAGTCATGGGTAAGGGGCATCTCCTTCCTACCATGTTACTTTAAGTCATCTGCAAGCCAGGCTAGACAAGAAGCAGCTTCCCTGGGTCCTAGGCCACGCTCCATCGCTGACTCACTGTGGCCAGGAGTACTTAGACTCTTGGGAAGGGTACTGTCAGCCCAGCTTCCCCAGGTTAGGCCAAATCTGGCAGGTTGCTGGGATAATGAGCAAGCAGCCAGCTGGGAAAAGGAGAAGGTGAACTGGAGAGAATGGTGGTCAAGGAATGAGGGGGAAATAGGAAACAGTGGGGCTGTGGATGTGGGTGCAGACTGGTGTACACACACACACAGGCACACATGCATGCCTGATATACATGTGTGTTCAAATATGTATAAAGTTTTGCATACACACCTAGCCAAGAAGCACTTTAAGGCCCGTGTGTGCATGTGAAATGCCGTGTCTATATGAGTATATTCATTCATTCAACAAACATTTATTGAGTATCTACTATGTGCTAGGCCCTGGGAACACGGCAGTGAAAAGACAGAAGATCCCCTACTCTCAAGCAGGGCCCATTCTTCCTAAGGAAGACAGACAATAAGCAAGTGAACAACTAGATCATTGGTCCAGTGAGGCTTCTCTGAAGAGGTAACATTGAAGCAAAGACCTGAGGAAATAAGAGCACAGGCCCTGGGGGAAGAGCATTCCAGGCTGAGGGAATGGCACAGGCAAAGGCCCTGGGGTTGAATTCTGTTAGGAAGAAACAAGGTGACCAGCTCATGCAGCCACGTAGACCATAGCCACGGCTTTGCCTTTAACGCTGGGCAAGCTGAGAAGTCAATGGAACGACTTGCTCAGAAGAATGACATGATCAGGACCCATGGCTCTTTCATGAGGAATAGATGGGTAGAAAAGAGGGCAAGAGCAGAAGCGGGTGGCCTGCAAATAGGAAGTGATGGTGGCTTGGAACAAGATGGTACCAGTGGAGGTGTTGAAAAGAGATCGCCTTTTGGATATATTTTGAAAGTGGAGCTGAAAACACTTGCTAATGGATTGGATGTAGAGTGTGAGAGAAAGAAAACTCAAGGATGACTGTTAGGATTGTAACCTGAGCAATTAAATAGATGGCTCTCCATTTACTGAGATGGGGGGAACAGATTTGGGGGATGAGAGGAAATTAGGAGTCTGGTGTGAAGTATGTTGCTAGAAAAACCTATTAGGCTGCTGAGTGGAGATCTTGAACAAGGCAGTTGAATACGTGGGTTCACAGGAGGTCTGGGCTGGAGAGATAAATTTGGATATTGTCAATGGCAAAGACCTGTGGAATTTCAGGGCCTGGCAAGAACTTAGCAATTAATTTTGCAAATGGGGAAACTGGGGCTCAGAGAGACAGTGATATGCCCAAGTGACAGGCAGATGAATGAGACGGGCAGCTCTGTCTACAGCCCAGAGGAAGCCACAGCTCGCCAAGATCCAGCCAGCTAGGGATAGAGTCTCACACGAGATGGCTGAGCCCCCAGACACAGATTCAGTTGCATTTACCAGGGTATGACTGCACACACCCAGGAGTACCGCACACGATTGCGCCCATGGAAAGGGAAGTGCACACACACAGAAATGTACGTCTCCTTGAAGACATCAGACACAGCCTAGCCAGGAAGCCCTTTAAAGCCTGTGTGTGCATGTGGCATAGCCATAGTCACACAAGTTCCTGACTTTCTAGGTCCAGCAGCCCCCACCTACTGACTTAAACTCATGGCCTCATCTCTCTTCACCTAAAACTGACCTGCACATTTCTTCATAGAAAAGGCCAGAAATGTGAGGAGAGCTGATGCTTTCTATTGAGAAGGAAGCAGGAGCCCCATCTGAAGGACTAGAGTAAAGCAGGTAGCTGGGAAAGGCCTAAGCGAGAGAGTGACTTGGGAAATGCTGCGTTTTAGAAAATGCCATCTACTGCATTGTGGAAAATGGCTGAGGATGGGGAGGTGTAGCGGGAGAAGAGCAGCCTCAACTCCACCATGGGGGCTCCTCCATGACCCCTTCACTCTCACTGCAATTCTGAGAGGTGGCAGGACTGATGGTAGCATCCCCATTGAACAGATGGGAACACTGAGGCTCAGAGAGAAGAAAGTACCTACAGTCACATATCAAGTCAGTGGCAGAGCAAGTTGCTGGGCATAGCTCCCAGGCTGTTGGAATGGCAAGAGTTCTTGTTTCACAGGTGGGGAAACTGAGACCAAGAGAAGGGCAAGGACTCATCCAAGGTCATGCAGAGAGTAGGAGGCAGAGGCAGCCCCCAGTTTATGAGCACTAGCCTACGGAGACCCAGCCCTGCCTCGACCCCCTCTCCCAGACCACTGACTCTCACATTCAACTCAGGAAAAAAGTTGGGAGGGAAGGGGACTCAATTTGGACTAGCTGGGAAACCCAGGAGGGGGAAGGGAAAAGCAGAAATTAAATTAGTTTATTTCATTTGAGCAACTTTTTGAAGGGGAAGCAAATCTGACACTAGGGTGCTTGCAGAGACTCCAGGCAGCTTTGAAAATCAGTCACAATTACTGAGCCTCCTCATCCGGCTGCGGAGGGCGGGGCCGACAAGCAGCACCAGGGTCCGGGCAGTTTCCGAGATCAGAGGGAGCAGGGACGCAGCTTGGGACATGAAAGGCAGCAGCGCTTGCAAATTAAACCACTCACAGCTTAAAAGAGAAGGGAAGTGTGCCGGGGGCCACCGATGAGCCACGCTTCTGAGCAGGGGCACACCAGTCATGTTAAGCCTGATGCAGCCAAGTGGTTCCTGAGTTGACAGTCAGGAGGCCTGGCTCCCTGCATGACCTTGGTTGACTTCTGCCCCCTGGACTCCAAGTTCCCTTCTGAGCATTGAGACAGTTCATTCAAGCATCAGATGTTTATTGAGTGCCTGCTATGTGCCGGGCGCTGTTCCAGACATTGGAGATTCTTAGGAAACCTACATACTATAGCAGGGAGAAAGTCAGGACAGAGATAAGCAAATGCATAATATGCAAATAAATAATTAAAAATATAAAATAGGCCAGGCACGGTGTCCCACGCCTGTAATCCGAGCACTTTGGAAGGCGTGTGAATTGCCTGAGCTCAGGAGTTCAAACCAGCTGGGCAATATGGTGAAACCCCATCTCTACTAAAATACAAAAAAATGAGCCAGGCATGGTGGCATACACCTGTAGTCCCAGCTACTCAGGAGGCTGAGGCACAAGAATTGCTTGAACTGGGGAGGCAGAGGTTGGAGTGAGCCAAGATTGTGCCGCTGCACTCTAGTCTGAGTGACAGTGTGAGACTCGGTCTAAAAAAAAACAGTATATGTATGTGTGTGTGTGTGTGTGTGTGTGTGTGTGTGTGTGTGTGTATAATATTAATATGCCTGGTGGTGTGAGTGCTATACAGAATAAAGAAATTTAGGGTGAAGGCTATTTTGCTATTTTAGGTAAAGGGGTCAGGGAAGGCCTCGCTTTCTGGAAGAGGACATCTAAATAAAGATCTGAAGGAAGGGAACCAAGGAGCTCTGAGAAGCATTGGTTTACAAACTTTTTCGTGCATCCACATTACCTGGAGGGCTTGTTAAAACACAAATTGCTGCCCTTGTCCCCCAGTGTTTTTGGCTCAAGAGATCTGGGCTGGTAGAAATATTTGCATTTCTAACAAAATCCCTAATGCTGCTGGCTTAGAGATCATATGTGGACAACCACTAAGCTAAAAGAAGAATGTTCCTGGCAGAGAGGACAACAAGTGCAAGGGTCCTGAGGCATAGAGTGTTTGTTGTGTTTGAGGAATAGCAGGGAGGTCTGTGGCTGAAGAGGAGTGAGTGAGTAGGAGAATATCTGGAGTC